ATTCATTCGTTCGTTCATTCATTCATTCGTTCGTTCGTTCATTCATTCATTCATTCATTCATTCTACTGTTTATCCATATATTTCTACTCATTCAATCATTCATTTTTTTTAATTAATTATTTAATTAAGTTAATTAATTCAATAATTCATTCATCCATTCATTCATTCGTTCGTTCGATCATTCATTCATTCATCCATCCATCCATTCATTCGCAAGTTAATTCTGCTGCTACAATCCTAATAACAGCACAATAACTATTTCTACTACTATTACTACCACTACCACTACTACTACTACCACTACAACAACAACTACCACTACAACAACAACTACTACTACTACTACTGCTACTACTACTACTACTAAGAATAACAACAACAACAATAATATAACACAATACACAATATACACAATAACTATTACTACCACTACCACTACTACTACTACCACTACAACAACAACTACCACTACAACAACTACTACTACTACTACTGCTACTACTACTACTACTAAGAATAACAACAACAACAATAATATAACACAATACACAATAACTATTACTACCACTACCACTACTACTACTACCACTACAACAACAACTACCACTACAACAACAACAACTACTACTACTACTACTACTACTACTACTACTACTGCTACTATTACTACTACTAAGAATAACAACAACAACAATAATAATAATAATAACAATAATAAAATTACTCATTCATTGAGGAATGTCTTACCTACGTGATGTTATAATTGTCAGCCAGCCAAGCATGACGAATAATAATAATAACAATAACAATAATTATTATTATTATAATAATAAATATAATTATTATTATAATAATAATTAGAATAATAATAATTGTTGAAATAGCAAATAGAATTTTGCAACTTGAATTAAGTAGCATAGTAGTAGTAAGTTGTTCGAATTTTATTCATTTTATTCCTATCTATCCCCTCTCTCTCTCTCTCTCTCTCTCTTTTTCTCTTATATATGTATATCTTTCTCTCTCTTTCTCTCTCTCTCTTTATACTGCTACTACTTATTCATTCTTCATTCTTCTCTCTCTCCCTCTCCCTCTTTTTCTCTCTTCTCTCTCTCTGTTACAGTTCTTCTTGTATCATGTTTACGAGTTCAAAACTTCACACACTCTCTTTTCCACGTCTCAATCTCTCTAAATTTTAACACTCTCCCAATCCATTCCCATATTCTTCTTACTTTCTTACACTCACTCATTCTCTCTCTCTCTTTTTTCTCCCTCTCTCTCTCTCTTTCTTTCTCTCTCTCTCTCTCTTTCTCTCTCTCTCTCTCTCTCTTCTCTCTAGTGACAATAGTAATCTTACTCTTCTTGCTCTTGACTTTTCTTCTGCCTCTGATACTGTTGATCATACTATTCTCTTGAAGCTGCTTGATGATTCTTTTAATATTGCTGATTCTTGTCTATCTTAGTTTTTTTCCTATCTCTGTAATCGTTTTTCTTCTGTTGTTCTCAATAATTCTACTTCTAACTCTTCTACTCTTATTTTCGGGGTACCTCAGGGTTCTATCCTTGGCCCTCTTCTATTTATACTCCATACTTCTGAACTACCTCGTATTATTAATAACTTTTCTTTCTCTAGTCAACTATATGCTGATGATTCTTATATTTATACTTCTTTTCCTCCATCTAATCTCAATAGTGTTCTTCATAATTTATCTCTATGTCTTTCTTCGATTATCGCTTGGTCTGATTCTATGTGTCTTAAACTTAATCCTTCTAAGTTTGAATTAATTTGTTTTAATAAATCTAAACACTCAATTACTATTCCTCCTATTATCTTACCTGATTCTAAAACTCTTGATGTCTCTCATAAGTTTTGTAGTCTAGGTTTTATCTTTGATTCTACTATGTCTCTCTCTTCTCAGATTAATAGTGTTGCTAGAAGCTCTTACTTTCATCTACGTAGAATAGAAAAACTTTTGCCTTTTCATGATGATCCTACTCTTTTCCTTCTTGTTACTTCGTTAGTCTTATCTAGGATTGATTATCTTAACTCGCTCTACTATGGTCTTCCTGACTCTATACTCTATTCTTTAAGTAAAGCTTTTAACTCTGCTGCTCGTCTAGTTGCTCGTGCCCCTTTCTTTTCTCATATATCTCCATATCTTGTTCTCTTGCACTGGCTACCTATAAAATATAGAATAATTTTTAAAATTTGCACGTTCATGTATAAGTCTCAATCTAAATTATTTCCTAAGTACTTATCAGATATATTAATTGAACCTAAACGCCCCGGTTTACGATCGTCTTCTTCTTCTCGCTTTTTCTTAACTCGTGTTAAACACTCTTTTGCCAAATCTGCTTTTGCTTTTTCTGGTCCTTTTCTCTGGAACTCTCTACCAACTTCTCTAACTATTTCTCCATCACTTGCGAAGTTCAGAGCGGATCTCAAGACCCATCTGTTTTCAAAATTCATTGAGGAGCGCTGTTGAACATCGCGGAAATAGCGCTTTATAAGCTAATTGATTGATTGATTGATTTGCTAATTCCAACACCACACACAACAAACTTGTTCGTAAGATATATTAATATGTAACCCATGACAAACATTAACTTTATATGATAAATTTATATTTGTTACACACATAACATATATATATATATTTAACCCATTAAAATTTTCATTATTCATGTTATTATTATTTTTATTAGTGTTATTTATATTTTGCCAAGGATTAAGAATTTGTGATTTAATGTTTTTATAGACTAACGAAGATGATGTTAATGTTTGTTCGTTTGGATGGTTGGTTGGTTGGTTGGATGGCTGATTGGCTGGTTGGTTTGTTGGTTGCTAGATTGGTTGATTGAATTATCGGTTAAATAAATGATTAAAAGACTATTAAATAAATGAATGAATAAATAAATAAATTAATTAATTAATTAATCAATCATCAATTAATTGACTGAACTTGAATAAACAAAACATTTTAATGACCATTTTCAATCAATTTCATTCTATTTATTCATTAACGGATTAATTATTTTAAACTCTTGACTAATTTTTTTTCTTGTTTAGAACTTACATTCACTTTTAACAAACTATATATATATACATATATGCTATATATATATATATATATATATATATATATACATATTATATGTGAGTAATTTATTTGTTAGTTTAAATATTAATGTGAAATGTTTGTGTGTTTGTTATGCTGCTTATTTAAAATGCGGGAAGGAGAATTATTTTTCGAAGATTGAAATGAATGATTGAAGAAATGAATGAGTGAGTGAGTGAGTGAGTGAGTGAGTGAGTGAGTGAGTGAGTGAGTGAGTGAGTGAGTGAGTGAGTGAGTGAGTGAGTGAGTGAAAGAATGAATGAATAAACAAAAGATGGATTGAAAGAACAAATGAAAGAACGACCCAGTGAATGAAAGAAAGAAGATTTGTCCTACTGCAAATCAAACAAATCGAAGCTTTGTAAAAAAAAGAGCAAAGACAGAACGATTAATTGAACGAATAAATGAATGAACGAATAAATGAATGAACGAGCGAATAAATGAATGAATGAATGAATAAACATTCAAGAGAAGATGAATGAACGTGTGAATGAACCAATGAATGCACCTACTATCAAACGAACAAATGAAATGATTGAAGTATGAACTGAGTGACGAATGAATGAACGAACACAAAAGAACGAGTGAGTGAACGAGTGAGTGAATGAATGAATGAATGAATGAATGAATGAATGAATGAATGAATGAATGAATGAATGAATGAATGAATGAATGAATGAATGAATGAATGAATGAATGAATGAATGAATGAATGAATGAATGAATGAATGAATGAATGAATGAATGAATGAATGAATGAATGAATGAATGAATGAATGAATGAATGAATGAATGGATGAATGAATGGATGAATGAATGAATGGATGAATGGATGAATGAATGAATGAATGAATGAATGAATGAATGAATGAATGAATGGATGAATGAATGAATGAATGGATGAATGAATGGATGAATGAATGGATGAATGAATGGATGAATGAATGAATGGATGAATGAATGAATGAATGAATGAATGAATGAATGAATGAATGAATGAATGAATGAATGAATGAATGAATGAATGAATGAATGAATGAATGAATGAATGAATGAATGAATGAAAGATTCTTATCAGAATAAAATAAAAGATTCTTATCAGAATAAAATAGAAGATTCTCATCAGAATAAAATTGAAAATTCTTATCAGAAGAAAATAGAAGATTCTTATCAGAATAAAATAGAAGATTCTTATCAGAAAGCCAAGTGTGACTTGCTTCTCAAAGTGCTTAACCTATTTTTAAAATAATCCTATCTTCATGCTGAATTATATTTATGTTACACCAAATGTTATATCAAATTTCGAATGAGTCGGATGTTGACAATGTTGCCTTAACTTGCCTATTCATCACATAGAACGATCCTTTTTCTGACTTTTATTAAAAAAACTGCTCACAACGGATGACATACGATGAATGAATGAATGAATGAATCGATCAATCAATTAATCACTCAATCAATTTATCAATCAATTAATCAATCGATCAATCAATTAATCAATCAATCAATTAATCAATCAATTATTTAAAATCCAATTAAAAGTTTATATCGTAAAATGGGATCAACTCTCTCTTTCAATTCAACTGGCATCTCTCCATTTCAGTCAGTTCTGAATAACGAAAGCAACATAATAAACATTTTTGTAATTGATTTTTTCAAACTACCAGCAACAGTGGAGGACCCATAGGGGCAGGGAGGTCGGGTTATGCCTCTTCCCCCGCTAGATTAGGAAAGAAAAATTTTGAAAGAAATTCCGAAAGATTCTGAGTAAAATTGAGTAAAAAAATTAACGAAAATTAGCAGAAAAGCTCATTAACCCGAGAATTTTTCAAATTCTAACCCTAACCCACCAAAACGGAGATTACTAGAAAAAGGTCATCAGCTTAAGAGATGTTTAAAATCCTTCCCCCAACTGCAAAATTATGGACCCACCGCTTGCCATGATTTAAATTTCTATAAAAATTACTTATAAAACTTTTCCTGCAGTAAGATTTGCAGTTTTTACAGACACTTGGTTCAGCATTCCATGCGGTACTTCCAGCGGACTTATAAAATGAGTTTGAATATTCCTTAGCGGCAGGCCAGAGTGAGTCATTGTAATTAATTTTGTACCAGCCAACTGTGGAGCTGTTGGTACTAACTACACTTCCAGGTGCTGTTCGTCAGGATGAAGTTCCCTGGTGTGGTGTATTGTGTTTACAGAATGTGGAAACATTTCGGAAAAATATCTAAAATCTAGTAAAGTTAAACGAGTCAGCACTAACCTTCAAGATTATCATTGTACCCTTCTACGGCGATGACAATCTGGTCGCCTCCAACATTGTAGTGGTCCGGTTGGTCCCAGTCGTTTGCATGTGGAAAAGTCGCAGGAGACACAGAAATGCTTCTGCCGTTGGTGTAAAATTCCTCCAGTTTGTTAACCACGTCAATGGTCAGTGTTTCATTAATTGCATTTAAATCTAAATTAACGGAATTATATATTTTTTAAGTTGCGAAAAAGTTATAATAATGCAAAATTTAGTAAATTAACTAAATTTCTCGCCATAAAAACCTTCTCTGAAATAATATTGGCAACCGGACAGTACGGAAAACTTGCCGAGCGTTTCATTGAAGAGCTGGCGCTGGTTGATAAGGTTGAAGAAGTTGTAAGCCACACAACCGGCTCTTCTTTGTGAGCATCTCATAGAACACAACACGAGGGCTTCTAGGCTAGTGACTTCATTCGCATGATCGCACGAACAAAATCTTGCCTCGTCTTCCATAAACTTGTAGAAACATTTATAAGCCACAATAGCATTAATACATAACATCAAAAAACTATACAGCCAACTCATTTTTGAAGTAAATTAATTTAATTTAAGTAAAGTTTTACAATAATTTAACGATAATTAAACAGTTAATCAAAAGTTATACTCAACTGGGAACGCAATGCGTAGTAGTGTGTCGTATTTAATGTCGATGTAGAATATTTTACTAAGGTTGAAACATATACAAACACAGCCCTGTAGCATTCGTAAAAATTTTTTATTGTCATGTATTTTTTCATGTCTTGAATTTTTAATACCAACTATGAATCCTTTTGTGAAGTTTTATTCCTAAAAAACTCAAGACAATTCTATTTCTTTCCATGCTATTTCTTTAACAAAGCGTTCCCTCTCTCGCTCAACATCTTTGCTCTCAAGCACTGAATAATTCAGTCTGCTTTTGTTTCTTTGCTTCTGTAGGACATTTTAAATTGAATTCATGTATATTTTTACATTTTCCAATAAACTGTATACCATAATTTCGGAAACTATTAAAATTATTTAGTGTGTATTACTTTTTGCAAGTGCATTAACACGACAAATTTTTTTTGGTTCTTTACTAAACTACACTTAGATGCTTCTTGCTTCCAATCGAATAATTTCAATGTAATATTATTCCACAACTTACAGATTTTCACTTCGGAATGAGTTGAAGAATTGCCATTGGAAAATCATTAACGTTTAATAAAATAATTAATTAAATAAAATAAATTTATATAAAGCGTCAATTAATAAAAGTTCTCATAAGCGCTATCAGTAAGTTCACGAACGAAGAGAAAAATAATTGAGATAGACATGGAAAAAAAAGAAAATCACATTGAAAATATGTCTTTACAATATTCCTAAAAGTGTCAATAGTTAATCACACTAAACTGATGGTTGTCATGTATGTTTGATTCCCTGATGTGTATGAATAATTGTTTACATGGGTATGTAGGTGGGTAATTTTATTTAAATTTTGCTTGATTAGACACCTTAAACTTGAATGAGCTATCTACTGTCAAAGTCTAATGTAATTGAATTGTAACACTCAACTGAGTTTAGTCTACTACTTTGAATATGGACGGACAGCTAGCGGTCATTTGCTGGCAACATTTATGGTGATAACTTTAGAATTCGTTATTCTCATCATCATCAACTGTTCGTTTTTAAGATTGTTCGTCTTAAAGATTGTTCGTCTTAAAGATTGTTCGTCTTAAAGATTGTTCGTCTTTAAGATTGTTCGTCTTTAAGAATGTTCGTCTTTAAGATTGTTCGTCTTTAAGAATGTTCGTCTTTAAGATTGTTCGTCTTTAAGATTGTTCGTCTTTAAGATTGTTCGTCTTTAAGATTGTTCGTCTTTAAGATTGTTCGTCTTTAAGGTTGTTTGTCTTTAAGAATGTTCGTCTTTAAGATTGTTCGTCTTTAAGATTGTTCGTCTTTAAGAATGTTCGTCTTTAAGATTGTTCGTCTTTAAGAATGTTCGTCTTTAAGATTTTTCGTCTTTAAGATTGTTCGTCTTTAAGGTTGTTCGTCTTTAAGATCCATTATTGATACACAGGCCCTTTGACAATTTTATGAATTTATGAGTGGCGTGCCATAAATAATGAAAAGTAAAAAAAATAATAACGTTAAAAGTGAATTTTGTTAAAAATTAGTTAGGCTAGATTTTAAAAACAAGATGAACTGGCGAAACGCTCTTCGAATGAAATCGAAGATACAAATACTTACACGTAAATATATATAATAGCATTTGGAATAATATTTTTTAAACAGATAAAACTGTCAAGCGATGGAAATGGGTCTTCAGTTGGAAGAGTTGGAAGATTTGCCTCTACCTGACCATTTGTTGATTAAAATTTATTCATTTTTGCCGCGAATGAGAGATAAATTTCGTTTGTCACTAACGAACAGGCGACTTCGCGATTTGTTTTTGAGCCCCCAGCTCTGGGAAAGTTTTTATGTTGAGTTCTCATCATGTCACCAAGACTCTCTTTATAGGTGTAAGTCTTGTAAAGGTAAACTGATACGAATGTCAGATTCGTCGCAAGATGATTTTTATTTTTCCATCTTTAAAGGCGCGACTCCGTCTCTTTCTTCTGAATCAAAACCACAAAAGTTGTACAAGTCTCATCTGTGCAGCCACTTCCAAAGAGTACTTACCAAGTACAACCGCCACGTAAAAAGTTGCTCATTTTTGTTGGGTGGTTATTTGGACTGTGGCCCTCTTTGGAAAATTGGTGACTATGAAAAAGAGCTTTTTCAAACTTTGCAGGTAGCCGTAAAACATTGCTGCTCGTTAGAAAATTTGGAGATAGGGCTAGGAGAATGGCTTTCAATGCATGACTCTTCAATAAATTTTTCATCTGTTACAGAAATGGATTTAATTTATAAACTCATCTCAAACAACAGCAAAACTCTTCGATCGCTCAGTATCATTTCGTGGCCAGTCAGACATGAAGATGGGGCTCCGAGCATTCTAAACAGCCTTCCAGATTTACAGAAATTGTCAATCTTTCATCCGAAAATTGTTGACGACACATGGATAAGACTAAGTGCCTCCATTCCTCAACCTGAATATGTAAATATTTTTTTTATAACTTTGTTGATTTTATTACTTTTCCATTTAAAACTCATATTGAATTAGGTTTTTCTCAGTGTGCAAAAGTTACGAAACTTAACTTCACTATCTCTCCATTGTTTCTGCATATCAGCAGAGCTTTTAAATGAACTCTCACTCATTAAGCCAAAATTCAACACAAAAGTCTACCCACATCTCACTAGGTTGAACATTTTGCTGATATTTGAATACCAAAATAGAAAGTTCTTCGACATACCTCAAGAGAAATGGAGAACTCTACACAAAACCCACCAGAACCTTGCAATGCGTCTCTCAATTGGGAACAAAATTCCTTATCCTTCTCTATTCAGGTTCTTGGAAGTGGTCAAATGTTTCGACGTTGAATCTGTAATCATCTCTCAGTACTGCGTTTATGACGTCAGCCTCATAAGCACGTTGGCAGCCGATTTCAACAGGTTGAAGTCCTTCGTCGATTACACGTGTGGTTCTGCAGATTTGTGCAATTTATTGTCACTTGTGGAGAACTCTCCTCTCATCGATACTCTCGTCTACCATGGTGATATTGAAGATCAGTGCGTCCTAAAACTCATTGCTATGAGGCACTGGAGAAAATTTGAAGTTTGTTCAATTAATTGTCAAATAAATTATTATTCAAATAATTACTTACTCAATTATTCAAGTTTTTAATTACTTAATAATTCAAATATTTATTACTCAATTATTCAAATATTTAATTACTCAATTATTCAAATATTTATTCAAATCGTTTGAATAATTTTTGTTTTGTTCATACTGATTATTTTGAATGAATTCTCAATTGATGAGAATCACATTCAGATACAAAAAAAACACCACATTCTGTCATACAAACAGAATTTTACATCCCACGAAACTACTTAACAACTCTGAATGAAATTCACTCAACCAAATTTCAGATCAATATGAGCAACGTCATAATCAAATTCCCTGGTCAACCATTTGACCCTGACAGTGTACTAACAAAAGACGAGACGACAGGTCAGTACATTCAGACCGCAATGTACCTAGAGCCCGGAAAAGGTTTCAACCTCACTGAAGATCACCAAACATACAAAAAAACTGTCTTGAATAACATAGAGAAATTTGCCAAAAGTCATCTGAGGTGTGAGTGGCGGCCTTTTAAGGGAAGAGAGTTGATGGCTCTTTCAGAAAGTTTCGGTAAAACTTAATAGCCTTCGGCGGGGTTCATAATGATATATACGTATCCCTCTTTCTCTATTTGTTCATGTATACGCAAGCATTTGTAGACATTTAAATTATTATCACATCTTAGATATATGAGCACATGTATTTTAATCTACGCCCATTATTTAAATTTTATGTTATATATATATATATTTTAATTGTTAAAAAAAAAGAAAAAATATATATATATGTGTGTGAGTTTTTTTTATATATGTGTCTTTCTTTCTATATATTCTATCTAATTATTTATATATATATATATATATATAATATTCTCTTTCTCTCTCTCCTTTTCCCGCCCCTCTCTCTCTCTCTCTCTCTCTCTTTAAAGATATATATCTTTGGTTTGATATATATATATATGTATGTATATATATATATCTGGTGATGGGTTTTTTGATACTGTTTGTGATATATAGATACAATTCTTACACATACAATTCCCCTCTTCAATATTTTCTAGATCAGCAAACACACGTTGCGTTTTAATACACGCGAAACAAGGCAATGTGTGTTGGGCGGAGATCCTTGCAATCGAATCTGGTAAACTGCGATAACTGAGCCAAGCACTTTACCTTTATACCGCCCAGACAGATTATATACATGTATTGCAATGTATCACAAAACTCTATTTTGAATGTTGGGAAAGTTGTCAAGTTATTTAGTTGTGTGACTGAGACTTTCATGTTTTTAATTCATTTTCTGTAAACTCAATAAAATGGACCCATCACTTATAATAATTCTTAAACATGCTACAATGCACACTCTTTTCCTGCCAACTTAATAACACACGCACACACACACGCATATACACACATACACACGCACACACACACAATTTGTTCGTATGATTTTAAATGAAAAAATTTGCCAACGTGCTTTTTTATCGCATTTGGGTTAATCGGTTTCATCTTTAGTTTGAAATATTGGTAATAAAATATTTTTCACCCATAAACTCCCGGCGTTAAATAATAATTTCATCACTGTATAACTATATTGATACAAATATGGGCCTCTGAACAAAAAATATTCAAATTATCGACTGTTTCTAGCCCACCGAATTCCCCATACCATGCCAAATTTCATGCCACGGGCTGAACAAACAAAGAATGATCAATCGACAAACGCGTGCTGACATGTTTCGGATACACTGTCAGCCGCCACTTGATAATCTCGTCTGACACTCTTTTCCTAAATCTACATTTGCTTTTTCTGGCCCCTTTCTCTTGAACTCTCTACCTCCTCCGACTACTTCTCCATCACTTACCAAGCCAGTGCAAGAGAACAAGATATGGAGATATATGAGAAAAGAGAGGGGCACGAGCAACTAGACGAGCGGTTAAAAGCTTTACTTAAAGGATAGAGTGTAGAATCAGGAAGACCATAGTAGAGCGAGTTACAAATAACCAATCCTAGATAAGACTAACGAAGTAACAAAAAGGAGAAGAGTAGGATCGTCAAGAAAAGGCACAAATTTTTTATTCTACGTAGATGAAAGTAAGAACATCTAGCAACACCATTAATCTGAGAAGAAAGAGACATACTGGAATGAAAGATAAAGCTTAGACTACGAAACTTGTGAGATGAAAGAGCTTGCGAAATTGCATGGGTTTCAACAAACAACTAATACTAAATACAAATTTGACTCCATGTGTTTAAAATATTGTAATTAACTCGAATTATGTAATTTGAAATTATTTTTGTCAATAAGCCATAGGTTATCTTACTTACAAAATTGCAATATTTTCATTAAAATTGACAAAAATAATTTCAAATTATATAGTTCACGGTTCATTGGTTAATTAGATGTTTGTTTGATTGGTTAGTTAAATAATTGATTGTTCGGTCAGTTGATTTGATTCAGCGGTTGATTGATTGATTTATTTGTTGATTGGTTAATTGATAGTACAGTATCAAACAGTATCTTATTAATTGATTGATTTATTTGTTGATTGGTTAATTGATAGTACAGTATCAAACAGTATCTTATTAAACAAAGTAGTATCATAAAATGAATAAAGATACTTTTTTTAAAACTTTTAAAAATTCTCATTTTGATTCCATTGCGACCTCGACGATGATGATTGTGACTGACTAATTAGAAAACTTCAAATAAAACTGTTAAAATAGGATGGGCAAATGAAGTCATGTTAACCGTAGTAATTTAACTGCCTGTAAGTGAATTAGCCGGTATAAAGGTTATGTTCAATTCCTATCAAATAAACTTGACCAAATATCATACGCAGGCAAAACTAAATAAAAAAATAGATAGATAGATATGTGTAGTTATAATACATTTATAAAGTTATATTCAAACACTCAAATTGTACAATTGTGTTATGGTGTAGTCTCAAATTATTTTGAATTCTCTCAGAAAATATTAAACGTTTTACTATATACTAGTATACTAATTATTATATTCTAGATACTTTTATCAACAATTTTTAAAATATTTTCAATTAGATTTCATCGCGACATCGATGATGATGATTGTGACCTGAGTGCTAAAAAAGCATCAAAGAAAATTTTTAAATAGGATGGAGAATTTGTTACGGAATCGTTGGAGGAAATGACGTCATGCTAGCGGTATTCTATACTTAGTAAAATGTATCCCTTCAACTTCCACACCAAAAGAACAAGTTTTTCAAAATCTGGAAAACTGATAAGCATAAAAAGAAATAGATTGCGAGATAGTTCATTTGAAGGGTGTGCGTGTTTAAATGATTGGAAGGAATTATTTGGCAAAGAAAACTAGTGTATTGTTCTATTTTAATTAAATTTTGAATAAAATATTCTTTAAACTCGCTCGTGTTAGTTCTTTGATATCAATATTGGGGATATTCGTATATAAAGCGAACAAAATTTTAATATAAAAGTGCTTATAAACCTACGCATTTGGCTCAGCTTGGCTTGGCTCGGCTTGGCGAATTGGATGTTAAGCAAGGTGTGGTCTTAAATTATTTTGAATTCTCCCCAGAAACTTTGAACTGCGTGCGAACATATGTAGCACTGATTACTGTTGCTTTTATTATGAATTTATATAACTAAAATCCATGTATAAAAATTATTAATATTAAATGCTTATATAAAAAATAGTATGGCTGATTAAACCAGCCAATCAGAAAGTTTCGATGGCGTTCGTTGGATGACGTCAATTTAGTACGGTTAGCATTGTTGTTAAGACTGTATAATAGTGTAGTACATACATTAAATAAGTTTTTTACTGATGTGAATGATTGAAATGATGAGAATGTATGGTTGAAACGAGTATAAATAGGAGCTGAGAAAGCATGAAAATCAGATCAGGCATTCTGCCTCGCTTTAGGCTTGAAGCGGTCTGCCTGATCTCATTTATTTTATTTTTTTATTTATTTATTTTATTATATAGAGTTATATAGAGTGGTTTGTGTGTTAGTATTTTGTATTTTTTTAAATTTTAGGTGGGTTCTTTAGCGGTTGCTCATGCATACATACATACATAGTGTTTGTTTGTGTGGTAGTATTTTATGTTCTGTTTTACTCCTTTTTCTCTTTCTTCATGAGTCTTGAGTTAAGTTAATGAAACGTAGGTAGGTGAGATTAAAAATTAATTTATTATATAGGTAGGCTAGGGCATAAGGTAATTTAGTTACATAGGTAGGTTAGGAACTTCTATTCTTTTACTCTACTTGGTGGTGTGTTTTTTGTTTTGTGTTTTTTTTTGTTTTGTTTCACACGATACACTCTACAGGTACGCGGTGGTTCCTGGTTTTAGTGGGATTTTTATTGATTGAATGTGGTAGTATGCATGGTTATATAGAGTTATATAGAGTTATATAGAGTTATATAGAGTTATATAGAGTTATATAGAGTTATATAGAGTTATATAGAGTTATATAGAGTTATATAGAGTTATATAGAGTTATATAGAGTTATATAGAGTTATATAGAGTTATATAGAGTTATATAGAGTTATATAGAGTTATATAGAGTTATATAGAGTTATATAGAGTTATATAGAGTTATATAGAGTTATATAGAGTTATATAGAGTTATATAGAGTTATATAGAGTTATATAGAGTTATATAGAGTTATATAGAGTTATATAGAGTTATACAGAGCATAAATCCTATATAGATACCTTTCTTTGAGGTTCTTTTCTTTGCCGACCGGTCGGCTTCTTTGCGTTTCTCTATTTTCATTTAAATTAATTAAATTAATAAGATTTTTCCATTCATTTAAGTTAATTCAGGTTCATTCAGGTTCATTCATTCAGGTTGAAGCTTCCAGAGGAGTTCATCAGAACAGTGGAAGATCGGAATGTTTGATTTCACGCTACGTTCGTTCATTTAGTGGCAAAGAATGCACGCCTGGCTGGGGTACGTTTTACGGTTTCTTTGCGGTTCCTTTTTTGCCAGTTGGCTGGTTTTCCGGCTGGCGGGTTTAACCACGGTTCGTTTCTCTATTTTCATTTAAATTAAATAAATAAGATTTTTTCATTCTATTCATTTCAATTAGGTTGAAGCTTCCAAAGGAGTTCATCATGGAGGATGTCAGGCCACGTTCAGTGGCCTGGCTGGGATACGTTTTATTCTTTTTTCTCAGTAATTTAACATTAAGTAAGAATGCATACACGCACACACATACACACACAATTACATTTAATAGCTATGTAGGTAGGTTAGATAAGCATAATTTTTATTATAGGTAGGATAGATAGGAAGCATCCAACATTAATGTAGTTGAATAGGTAGGCGCGTAAGTTTATCGCTTCTATTTTTTTTTTCTTGCACCCACATTACACGCATCAGCGTATTACACACACACACAAGTACATACATAAACACATATGTTAGTATTTGAGCGTTATTTTATTTTCATTACACATTCTAATTTATTATTACTGAGGTTGAGAGTAATTTAATTTCATAGGTAGTTAAGGGCAATAATGTAATTCTAGGAACAATCTTGTAATGTAAATTAAAACTCTGTAAGTGTACCGATAGGTAGGTTAATTGTAAGTTTTACATTATTATTATTAGGTTGGAGCCCAAGGCATTACGTAGGTGGTGGGGTGGGTGCCGAAAGGCCAATGAATTGGGCTCTTGAGTTTTGTAATTTTAGGTAAGCTAGGGCCATAATGTAATGAATAGGTAAGTTAAGGCTACGTTGTAACACATACTCATTAATAGATATAGGGTTTAAGTTTTATATTATTATTACTAAGTTGGAGCCCAAGGCATTACGTAGGTGGTGGGGTGGGTGCCGAAAGGCCAATGAATTGGGCTCTTGAGTTTTGTAATTTTAGGTAAGCTAGGGCTTAATTGTAATGAATAGGTAAGTTGAGGGTACGATAGCCGATAGACTCTGAATTTCGAAGTCTCTTGTCAGAGGTAAGCCTTAGTGGCCAGTGGTGAACCGGCAATGGTTTACTATCCGGACGGCAATGGTTTACTATCTGCACGGTAATGATTTACTATGCGGCATGGCCATAGTCTACTACCCGCACGGCTTCCGGACGGCAAATGGTTTACTATCCGCAAGGCAGTAGTCTACTATCCGCACGGCAATGGTTTACTATCCGGTGCCCTGGCTGTCGGTGAACCTCTGTGCAAGGAGGGAGAATGAAGGGGGACTTTTGACTATCGTACCATTAACAATTTAATATAGATTAGTTAAGGTAATTGAATAGGTAGATAGGATTATTTTTATTAAGCAATTTGAGATGCAGGCACCGCTAAGCTTTCTGATGAGAATCTTCTCTTTCTCCATTCCACGGGCTGTGTTTCAACAACAATCTCGGGAAGGACTGGCACCAGTTTTGGAGGACAACATAGGAACCGGAAGGCATTCAACATTCTGCCATTGTCGAATGGACAGCGGTAAGTTTTTTTTATATTTTAATCTTTTTATTATTTTCAGATATTATTTATTTGCCATTATTTCCATTTTTTAATCTTTTGCTTCTAAAATTCTAACATTCATTTACTACTACGTTAATAAAAAAAATTGTCTACAGAATGATGAGAGGTGGGCAGTGGTGGGAGTCAACACGTTTCAGATGGTGGTCTCATGATGATTTACGTATGATGATGGTGGTGTAGAAAGAATCAGCTCGTTGGCTGTTTGACTGACACTCAGAAGTTCGGATAACATCTTGTGTGCCGACCAGATAATTGTGGTCGGTGCAATGGAGTACAGCAACTACGATTTTTGAAGTAAGGTTTAGTTTCGTTTTTTATTTTTCTCATTCATTCATATTTTCACTCAATCTTTCAAATTATTTAATTGATTAATTAATTCATTATATTCATTCGTTAATTTATTTATTGATTAATTAATTCATTCATTCACTTTATCATTCAACCAATCATTTATTCGTTTGTTCCTTCGTTCGAAAGTTCATTTACTACAACGCTAATCAAAAATTTTGTCTACAGAATGATGAGAGGTGGGCAGTGGTGGGCGTCAGCACGTTTCAGATGGTGGTCTCATGATGATTTACGTATGATGATGGTGGTGTAGGAAGAATCAGCTCGTTGGCTGTTCGACTGACACTCAGAAGTTCGGATGACATCTTGTGTGCCGACCAGATGATTGTGTGGTCGGTGCAACGGAGTACAGTAACGACGATTTTTGAAGTAAGGATAAGTTTCGTTTTCTCATTTTTCTCATTAATTCATTCGTTCATTTTATTACTCAATCTTTCAAATTATTCTTCCATTAAATGATTCGTTAATTCATTCTATTCATTCATTGAATCATTGATTGATTAATTAATTAATTCATTCATTCTTTTAACTAATTCAGTTAATCATTTATTTGTTCGTTCTTTTGTTCTTTGATTTACCAACATGCTAATTAAAAAAAATTTGTCTACAGAATGATGAGAGGTGGGCTGTGGTGGACGTCAGCACGTTTCAGATGGTGGTCTCATGATGATCATTCCGACGACAATTTGAAGATAATATTAAAGGGAAATTTGTTTTTGTCCCATCGTACCTATGAAAGTACTCGAATTTGAACGAAGGATTAAAGGTTATCTCAATAAGATAAGTTGCCTATTACTTTTTCCAACAGCTTTTAATTTTTTTTTCAGATTTAGTGTTTTTCAGTACCCGGTCAAATTCACGATGCGTGTCAGATGATGGTCGATGCAATGGAGGTTCGTCCGTAGTGAGTGAAGAAGTTTCTGGAGAGTACACGCGCGCACATTTACACACACACACCAATACAAGACACACATACACAACATCCATTCATTCGGTGTCGTCGTTGTTATGTTCCTCTTCAACTTTCTATTTTCTTTACCTGACTTTAATTTAATTCGTAGGTAAGTTAGGGATTGAGATGAGTTGAACAATCGTAGGTAGGCTAGGGCTTAAAATTAGTTAAAATGTTTCAAGTAAAATAAAAACGCTGAAATATGTAAAATAAAATACCTAAAACAAGTAAAATCCAAAATCGTTGAAATACTTATTTGTAGAGAGGAGAGTTGAGTTAACGATTATAAGTAAGCTAGGGCCCTGAGAGTAATTTAATTGTAGGTAGGTGACTGACTACTATTCTTGCGACTTTTTACTAGTTTTTTGTGCTGTGTTTGTTTGTTTTCGCTTCACAGCCCCACACCAACAAAACAAACCACATTTTATTCTCGTCGTCGCCTTAAATTTTACATTTTTGAACAATCTTTTTAATGTCTATTTTTTTATTTTTTTTATTAAATGTTGACTGGTTTCTAGTTTTTTTAATTTGGTTATATAATTTTTGGATATTTCTTGATTTAATAAAAGCAACTATTGTGTTTTTCTTTCTTTACTAAAATCTCGAAATTGTTTGTAGATCTGTACAGTTAAGTGTTGGTTCGAGTTTTAACAAGCCTTGCAAATATTTTTCAAATATGGTTTATTGATTGGTCGATTGGTTGGTTGATTAGTTGATTGAATGAATAATTGGTTGATTGATTGGTTGGTTGATTGATTGATCTCATAGTTTTGTATATATGAAAAAATATCCGATTAAGCCAACATAAGTTATTTGAGACCCTGTAAGCCGCTACAGTAAGCCAACGTATGATTTCAGCAACCAGTTTTTATGAGCACCAGCAGAATGTTAAATATTCATTGAATATAATGATGATAGTTGTTCAAATAACTTTACGAATTAACGTAGGTAAGTTAGGGATTGAGATGAGTTGAACAATCGTAGGTAGGCTAGGGCTTAACATTATCTAAGAAGTTTCTAAAAAAAAAAATTTTTTTTAAATTTAATTATACCAATATAATTAATAACGTTAAATGTGTAAAATACAATACCTGAACTATTTAAAATTTCTAAAACTTAGAAATACAAATTTGTAGGTAGGTGAGATGAGTTAATCATTATATGTAAGCTAGGGCCCTGAAAGTAATTAAATTGTAGGTAGGTAACCGACTACTATTCTTAAGACTTCTTACTATTTTTTGTTATGTATTTGTATTTGCTTCACACCACCACACCAACAAAACGTACTAAATTTATTTTTCGTCGTCGCCTTAAATTTTACTTTTTTAGACAATTTTTTTAATAATGTCTATTTATTTGACTAGTTTCTAGGTTTTTTTTTTTTTTTTAATTTGGTTATATAATTTTTGATTTCTTGATTTACTTTTTATATATGCATGTATAAATAATTTCTGTTTGGTATGTTGATTTAGCCATTATGATATGTTGTGAACTGTTCTTACTAAATGTTATTTTTACGTGGATTATCATCCTTCTAGAACTTCTAAGGAGTGCATGCGATAACACAAACAAAAAGCTTTTGATACTGTTGATCATACTATTCTCTTGAGGCTACTTGATGATTCTTTTAATATCACTGATTTTTGTCTATCTTAGTTTTTTTCCTATCTCTGTAATCGTTTTTCTTCTGTTGTTCTCAATAATTCTACTTCTAACTCTTCTACTTTTGGGGTACCTCAGGGTTCTCTCCTTGGCCCTCTTCTATTTATACTCTATACTTCTGAACTACCTCGTATTATTATTAATAATTTTTCTTTCACTAGTCAACCATACGCTGATTCTTATATTTACATGGTTTCTCCATCTAATCTAATTTAATCTAATCTAATTTCTCCATAAATTGTATTCTTCATAATCTATCTCTATGTCTTTCTTCAATTATCGCTTGGTCAGACTCTATGTGTCTTAAACTTAATCCTTCTAAATTTGAATTAATTTGAATAAAACTTTTGATGTTTCTCATAAGTTTCGTAGTCTAGGCTTTATCTTTGATTCTAGTATGTCTTTTTCTTTTCAGATTAATAGTGTTGCTAGAAGTTCTTGAGCCTTTTCTTGATGATCCTACTCTTCTCCTCCTTGTTACTTCTTTAGTCTTATATAGGATTGATTATTGTAACTCGCTCTACTATGGTCTTCCTGATTCTACAGTCTATCCTTCAAGTAAAGCTTTTAACTCTGCTGCTCGACTAGCTGCTCGTGCCCCTTTCTTTTCTCATATATCTCCATATCTTGTTCTCTTGCACTGGCTATCTATAAAATATAGAATAATTTTAAAAATTTGCACATTTAGGTATAAGTCTCTAAATTATTTCTTAAGTACTTATCAGATATATCGAGCTTAAACGCCCCGGTTTCTCTTAACTCGTGTTAAACACTCTTTTGCCAAATCTGCTTTTGCTTTTTCTGGCCCTTTTCTCTGGAACTCTCTACCTCCTTCTCTGACTACTTCTCCATCACTCACGAAGTTCAGAGCGGATCTCAAGACCCATCTGTTTGCAAAATTCATTGAGGAGCGCTGTTGAACATCGCGGGAATAACGCTTTATAAACTAATTGATTGACCATCATTTTCACCATCATCATAACCGTCGTCATCTTCATCAAATTTCACGTACTATAAACACACACATTACAGCAAATCACATCATGCGTATTTCGGAATTTGAGAAAATTAACTCACTTTAAATAGATTTTTTCGTTTCGATTTTAAAAATAATAAAAATAATTATCTGCAACCAAAATATATATATAATTCATACAATACTGTATATATATATAATTTATACAATACTGTATATGTGGATATATATTTATATATATATACATATATATATACCAAATGGATCATCATTCATCATCATCTTGTCAATTAAATTTAGCATTATTGTTATGAATCTAATATAACCATACAAACATTTAAAAAAATAACAAGAGATGAACATAGAAATATTGTAAAAGGCACTTGGTCACACTGGTCACACACACACACACACACACACACACACACACACACACACACACACACACACACACACACACACACACACACACACACACAAACGTGTAGACAAAAACATAGCTGATTCACAAATAAAAGATATATTGATATCCACAAACACAGTAACACTAAATACAATACATACATAAAAACAAACAAACAGACAGATATACATACATACAGACAGACATACAAACAGAGAGACAGGCACATACACATACAACCAGACGTACATATATACAAAAAAATTATATATACAAACGAAAAGATACACATAAGGCAACAGAAATAATCGCTCTTTCTCGCTCTCTTCACTCTTTTTATTTCATCTTTCTTCATTTTGTTTCTGTCTCTCTCTCTCCCCCATCTGTCTTTCATTTCTCTCTCTCTCCCTCTCTCTCTTTTTCTTTTACTTTCTTCCTCTCCATCTATCTTTCATTCTCTCTCTCTCTCTCTCTCTCTCTCTCTCTCTCTCTCTCTCTCTCTCTCTTTAAACTTCTGCAGGAAAAAATTATTTTTCATCTCTTGAAATCTTCAAAATTATTTAAAAAGAAGAGACCAGATATAAATATTACCATCATCACTATTGCTATTATTATTATTATTACATTTATTATTACAATTATTTTCATTATTATAATTATAATTATTATAATTATAATAATTATTATTATTATTACAAGACCCCTTCATTATCGAAGAACCGTCTGAACGTAAAGTCAATGAAATCGTGCGTGCTGAAATCCTCATCAGTCCTCCTACTATTATTATTATTATTATTATATAAATTATTATTATTCTTATTAATGTTATTACTATTATTATTAATGTTATTATTACTATTATTATTGTTAATGTTATTATTATTATTGTTATTATTATTATTGAATCGACTGTTTTGATGTTGAGGCTGAGGCGAGCTTGAGGACAGCCTCACGAATACATTATTATTATTATTAACATTATTATTATTATTAGTGTTATTGTTATTTTTATAAAAATTGTTGAACCTATTATTATTGCAGCAGCTACTATCACAGCCGCCAATGCAGCCACAAACGGCGCCCATAGCACCCCCACCGCCATTTTTGTTAGCCCGACCCCCAGCCCCACCCGGCGGACCGCCCCTAATTTCCCCGCCAAAGCCCCCGATAGCTCCGCTGCACGCCTCCAAATCGACGAGAGGCTTCGCTACATCGAAGTTCGATATATCAAGTGGGCCGGATAATCTCGGTATGTAGGGAGGGTCTATGGAGTGGATGGCTGAAAAGTCGATTCCGGAGAAAAAGGGATGTGCCTTAATATCGTCCGCCCCGCCGGGTCCCGATCCCAGACGAGTTTCCGCCTCGCGACAGAGTTTTGAGATGAGGTCGATGGTGCTTTTGGAGACTGGGTTGTGAGGGAGAGGTGGGTAGTGGAGGGTGTGTCGCCAGTTCACCACCTAGACGGATGAATGGATGAATGAATGAATGAATGAGTCAGTTGGTTTTTAAACGAATTGCTCTATCAATCATTCAGTTAAGTAGGTAAATAAATGACGAGTCAAACAAAAGAACTAATCGACTGAATGAATGAATCGATCGATGAACGAATGAATGAATGAATCATTCATTCATTCATTCATTCAACAAACTTTAATTTGGGTTTCCGAAGCATCTTCAGCCCTGAACGGCGGTTGACCGAACCTCATTTCGTACAAAATCACCCCAACGCTCCACCAATCACAACACGATGTGTATCCTGATGACGATGATGGTGGTGGAGGTGACGATGATGATGATGATGATTGTGATGATGATGGTGACGATGGTGCTGGTGACGATGATGACGATGATGATTCAACCAGCCAATCACAACCGACCATTCATATCATCTTCAGGCCAACAACGATAAAAAAGTCAATAACTATTTATAGTCAACCAATCACGGACTGCCTATCTAATTTTCACCCAATCAGAATCCATGAAACGATAAAACTATCGACCAATAGGAAGCTACCTTCTTGCAAAAGGACTTCCGGCGCGATGTAGTTGGGCGTTCCGACGAGAGATTTCGCAACTTTTCGTTGCAATTTGTTGTTGTTGTTGTTGAGATGTTGTTGTTGTTGTTTGCGTCTAGATTTTGGACTCGTAACACGTGGGGCTTTGGCGTCTGGTTTGGTTGGTGATTGATTGATTGGTTGGTTGATTGATTGAATAAATGATTGGTTGATTGATTGATTAATTGAATGAATAATTGATTGGATGGTATTTAATGGTATTCAATTTACAAACAATGGTATTTAATTATTGATGAAGCTCATTTTTGAAAAAACGCTGACGAATAAAACTATCTTAACAATTGAACATAAACAATCAACCAACCGTCCAACCAACCAACCAACCAACCAACCAACCAACCAACCAACCAACCAACCAACCAACCAACCAACCAACCATCCATCCAACCGACCAACCAACCAACCATCATTGTAATAGTTGGAATCGTGCGTCCAATGGAAACCAGTGCATAGGCCGAAGTCGGTCAACTTGATATGTCCGTGCCTGTCTATCAGGATGTTGTCCGGTTTGATATCTCGGTGGATGAATCCTTCAGGGATGAATGGATGGATGGATGGATAGATAAAATGGATGAATGGAATAAATGAATGAATGAATGAATTAATTAATTAATTCGTTTATTATAAGTGGGTGGATTGATGAATTCTGGATACATGCATTGAAGGAATAAATAAATGTTTGAATAAATTAATAAACGAATTCGTTACCGAACGTAAGAACGTAAGAATGCATAGATGAATGGATAGATAAATAGCTAGCTCGACAAATGGATAAATAATATAGTGAATTAACTGATGAATGGATAAATAATATAGTGAATTAACTGATGAATGGAAAAACCATATAGTGAATTGACTGATGAATGGAAAAACCATATAGTGAATTGACTGATGAATGGAAAAACCATATAGTGAATTGACTGATGAATGGACGGATTAATTAATGAATAACTGACCAAATGAACGAATGACTAAACAAACGAACGAATGAATGAATGAATGAACGAACGATTGAATGAAGGAAAAAAAGAACCCTCCCCCACCTAATTTATGTACACTGGCAATAGCAAGAACCAATTCAGCAATGTAAAAGAGAGCCAGCTGGTGCTCAAATATACCCTTCTTGATCAGCAGACCCATCAAATCGCCGCCTAAATTAGTTCGATGTTTGTCATTTGATTCGTAGTTTGGGGTGGTTTCTGATATTAAAGCTGATATTAATAGTAATTAAAGACTCAGCCAATCAGCAAACAGGCAAGCCAGCCAGCCAAACGACCGAACAATCAACCCATACAATAGCCACCAATCAATCAACCGGCCAAACCATCAATTGAATAACCAGACAATCAGCCAGCCAAACAATCAGCCAGCCAGACAATCAGCCAGCCAGACAATCAGCCAGCCAGACAATCAGCCAGCCAGACAATCAGCCAGCCAGACAATCAACCAGCTAGACAGCCAGACAATCAACCAACCAGGGATATAATCCATAACGAGGTATAAATGATCGGCATCTTGAAATGAGTAGTACAGATTGACAACCCACCTGTTGTCCGCCTCGGCCAGCACATCTCTTTCCGCCTAATCGGGGATGGTCCGTTCAAATTAGGAACAGAAATCAATGATTTATTGTGGAACTAACTCTCTCTCTCTCCTCATTAACTCTCTCTCTTTTCAGTTTCCTCCTTCTCATTATTTTTATTTTCCTTCATTTTACTCACTCCTACTTTCTCACTTATTTCCTCCTTCATTCTCTAACTCTTTCATTTTAACGTATTCTCTTCTTCATAATCTCTCTCTCTCTCTCTTTCTCTCTCTCTCTCTTTCTTCTTTCTCCCTCAAACGAACGAACAAACGAACGAACGAACAAACGAACGAACGTACGAACACATGAACGATCGTACCGACGAACAAGCGAACCTTGACATGAGCAATCTGTTTCTTACTCCAGACCTCCTTCTTCCTCATGCACTTCATGGCATACAGGATGCCCGAATCCATCTTCCTGACGAGGTAGACGCAGCCAAAAGCCCCCCCGCCCAGCATGGCCAGCTTCTGAAAGGCACTGATGTCCATCTTAGTCCTTCTGAACCTCAGATGCTGGCTCTCCTTCTGGCGAAGCAGCTGTCGAACCTGGTCCCTATTGGCTTCCGACAGGTTGATCTCCTGCATCTCTCGCTCCAACTGTAGCAGGCGTTTCTGTCGTTCTTCGTAGTATTTCAAGACCTGCGTAGGTGTGTGCGTGGTAGTGTGTGTGTGTGTGGTAGTGTGTGTGTGTGTGGTAGTGTGTGTGTGAATGGTAGTGTGTGTTTTTATGTGTGTTTATGTGTGTGAATGGTAGTGTGTGTGTGTGTGTGTGTGTGTGTGTGTGTGTATGTGTGTGTGTGGTAATGTGTGTGTGTTTTGTGTTTGTGTGCGGGAATGTGTGTTTATGTGTGGTAGTGTGTGTGTGTGTGTGCGTGCGAAAGTGTGTGTGTGTGTGTTTGTGATGTTATAATTTAATAGTGTGTGAGCCTCAACAACATCAACAACAACTCTAACATCAACAGTAACAACAACAACAACAACAACACCAACAACATCAACAAACTTTTTCAACATGTTGCTCCATGAAGAACTTATAACTCTTGGCAGGATAATACCTTATTCTATAGTTGTTGTTGTTGTTGTTGCATTTCTTGTCGTTGTTGTTTGAATTGTTGTCAACGTTTGAATTACTGTTGTCGTTGTTCATGTCATCGACAACAACATCATCATATTCGTCGTCGTCGTCGTCGTCTTCGTCATTTATGTTGTTGTTGTTGTGGTTGTTTATTTTGTTGAACAATCTTCTCCGTGGGAGAGGTGAGGTTATTTTAAATATTTTAGTTTCACTGTTAACGTTGTCGTTGACATCATCCTGGCCGTCGATGTCATTAAGGTATATGTTGTGTTGCTGCAGTTGTTGTTGTTGTTGTGGTTGTAGTTGTTGTCGGTACTGAATTTGATTGATGTCGTTGTTCTGGTTACTATCAACATCACCATCCCCAACATCATCATCGTTGTTGTTGTAATCATCATCATCATGGACAACGTTGTTGACGTCATTGTTATTGATGTTACGATAAATGTTATCAAAGATAAAATTTGTGCTGTCGTCAGCGTTAACATTGTCGCCATCGTCGTCGTCGTCGTCTTCATCGTCAATTATAATACCGTTGTTGATGTTGTTGTTGATGATGTTGTTGTTGTTGATGTTGTTAGAAAAAAACTGTTGACTCGTTCTGTTGAGATGTTGCTGTTGTTGTTGATGTTGTTGCTGGTAAGATGTTGGGAAGTTGAAATTGTTCTGTAGGAAAACAGTAGGCTGTTGAATGACATTCTGCTGGAGTTGTTGAATATTCCGATTCTGTTGTTGCTGTCGTTGCTGTAGTGAAATTTGTTGTTGTTGTTGCTGTTGAGAATGTTGCTGTTGTTGAAGATGTTGTAGTTTTCGTTGTCGTACTTTTTTCTGCAATGAAAGACTATGCTGAAACGACTCTAACAAAAGATTCTGCTGTTGTAGTTCTTGGTGCAGTCGTTGCTGATGATGTTGTTGCTGTAGATGATGTTGTATAAGCTGTTGTTGTTGCATCTTTAAACGTCTGTCCAAAAGTGGATTTCGATTTTTATCCAAATTTTGCTGCACAAACTGCTGAAAGTGCCTCAAATCTAGCGTCTCTTCCTCACTATCATCATTAATCGCTGAATTCTTTTCGTCTAATTTGGGGACATTATCTGAACATTTGCAACCAACATTTCCTTTGTTAGTAGTTGTCGTTGGGTCGCAACTAAAAGTCGTGGCAATCTGAGGAACTGGCCGACTGACAGGTCGACTACAAGCAGTGTGTGTTTTTATGGGGCCCTGTTTCCTTGTGATGGCCAGGACAGGAACTAAATTAGCACGACAATCTTTCTTCTGATTAGTGTTCGGATTGTTGAAGTTGTTAAAAGGATGTTGTTGTTGTTGGTAATGGCTGGGTTCTTTCATGTTGATTTGATTGTCTTTGTTCAACTTCAAATGGTGATCAAGCTGATCTACTAACAACACTAATTGACCATCTCCTCCTGGGGTTAGATTATTACTACGTTTGCCGAAGGGACATTTTGACGTAGCAGTCCTAATTTGATTATTATTTAGGGGATGGCGATCAGCGGTTTCATCAAAAAAATTTAAATTTTTGTCAGTGGTGGAATCTTCACCATCGTCTGAGATGTCTCCGACTGAAAATTTAATTAAATATATCTTAAACAAATTATTTTAAATAAATTTATTTTTTGATCATTTCGGTATTTCAGTGAAAAATGGAAACTTAGGAAGAAAAAAGAAATTAAATAGAATTTTATTATGTTTATTTTTAAAAGTATTTAAAAATGAAATTTTTGGGATTTTAGCTGGGCTGATGAAAAATGTTAAATTAGTTTTAGCGACACCTACTAACAAAAATAAAACAATCATTTTTTTTATCTTTAATTAATATAACCGTAAAAAACTAATTAAACGGTAATTATCTAATAAAAACAATTAAATACTGATGATTATTAATTAAATTTATCAAAAAAATACTTTTAAACGTTTCTCTGAGGAATTTTATGAAATTTTCAGCTTTGCTTTCAAGGGTTTGAAATTCTTCCATATTCATGAAATCCTAAAAATAAAAAAAATTGTTTATATATATAATGGTATTAATAGTAGTAGTAGTAGTAGTAGTAGTAGTAGTAGTAGTAGTAGTAGTAGTAGTAGTAGTAGTAGTAGTAGTAGTAGTAGTAGTAGTAGTAGTAGTAGTAGTAGTAGTAGTAGTAGTAGTAGTAGTAGTAGTAGTAGTAGTAGTAGTAGTAGTAGTAGTAGTAGTAGTAGTAGTAGTAGTAGTAGTAGTAGTAGTAGTAGTAGTAGTAGTAGTAGTAGTAGTAGTAGTAGTAGTAGTAGTAGTAGTAGTAGTAGTAGTAGTAGTAGTAGTAGTAGTAGTAGTAGT